TAGCTGAAACTGATTCTGTAGCACTGAAAAACCCAAGATACTAACTCTGATTACTACAGGGTTAAAATCAGGGATAAAGGGAGAACAAAAGAGTAAGAGTACTGCCTTGAGACTAAGCTACTGTTCCAGAAGCTAAAGTAGCGAAATGAACTGGTTTAGCATCTCTGCTCAGTTTGTCCTTACATTTCTGTCAGAATTACATCAGACTAGTTTTGTTAAGGTTCGTAGTAGAAAGCCACGTGTATTAAAGCTGGAAAAGGAACCTCTCAATATGCACTGCTGGGCAGTCCTGTATTTAGTAGTGTAATGCAGCTCTTTGGAAGATTTCCCAATGTCTCTTTAAAATGATTGCATTACAGCTTAATTATCGGTAAAATCTGCCTAGGTTGGCTGGAATAAAAAGGAATGTGTAACTAGGGAATGGGGCGGTGGAAGAAGTAGTGGTGGAAAAGCTTTTGGTGTATGAGATGAACATGACTTCTTGGCTTAAACCAAAAGAGGCCTAGGTGAGGCCAGTCTCCCTGGCCTCTGATAATTTGGCTAAGTGGTGTTGGACAACGGTATACCTAAGCTGGTGAATTTTATTAGCTTTGAGTAGCAATGCGAGGTAAATACAGCAAAGTGCAGCTCTTACGTTTTTTTGTGTTCGTCTTTATGTGGCACTAATGATGTTGACTTTTTCTTAGTATGCAGATTTCTCTGCTCAGTGTATTCTTTGACAGAGTTTTGTTGGAAGCTATGGGAGAAAATAGCCTCAGTAAAGTGAGGAGAGAGGATGAATCCCTGGCCTATTGGAGAGAACAGCGTTGCACATTGCATTTTTAAAACTGTGAAAGCTATGTGATCCTTTGCAATCAAACGTTCTGATTTGCACCCAACTCTTCTTTATTAGACCTGAGTATCTTTTCAAACTTTTGTATCCCAGTGTGCAACTCTGCAAAACAAGAATTCATTGATAAAGGAAAATTTCTGTCAATAATTATTTTTGAAATGCTATAGTCATTGGAGTGGTTTACATTTATTTTAATTGAACTTTAATTTAATCAGACATTTAATTTAAATTTAACTGTAACCGAAACGTTGCTGGTACTTAGCCATGCAAGTGTACTTGGCAGGAAGTGGTCACACATGTCACCAGGCTTACTCTACAAATGTTTGCAGCTCACCACTTCCTGTTACTGAAGTGAAAGAAGAAAAGAAGCACCAGTTTCTAGTTCATTTTAGCCTCTAAAAAGTTTGTTAAACTTCTTAGTGTCATAACAGAGGTATTTATGGCCTTCCCCTTTAGATGCTGCTTTTAGCTCTGAAATTCATCTTTATTTGAGAATTTTGGTGAAGTTCCTACTAGAAATCTTAAGTTCTGAGAAGATATCTTTTGTGCAGATCCTGAGTTTTAGAAGAGATCAAAGGAATGGTTGTAGAAACCATTTTGGTGCTGCGAAGGAAACAACTAACCACAAGAAACCAGTCTGTGCAAGGCATGGATTGGTGCGCATAGTTATCTAATGGCGGCGTAAGCTTGCTTTCTCAGAAAACCATCCCTGCAGGAGTCTTTCACTGTTTATGCTGATGTGTCTTGGCCTCAGTAGTTGACAGTAAATACAGAATTATCTTTAAACCACGGTAGTCTCTGAACCTAGTTTTCCCAATAGCTGTTGTACTTACTTCTAAGACTTCAGGCCAATTTGCTGTTGTCTGTGATACAGTACCCTTTCCAGAAAAAACTGTATTTGTGCTTTATAACCTTTGAGGCCAAAAGAAAGTCTATTCTGAGCACAGGTCATTCGTTTTCAGACCTGAATACAGTTACCTGCGATTTTAGCAGGTGTTGCACCTAGTTAGGAGAAAAACCTTTACAACAAGGGAGACACAAAACCCTATCAAATGTAAAATGGAAACACTTGCCAACTTCTGTTACATATTATAAGGATTTTTTAAGTACACATCATTCTTATGTCATTTTTAGAAGAATGTGAATTAATGAAAGTATCTTTTTGCCTGTAAATCTACTAGTGAATCTTGGGAAATTGTAATTGTAGCAGTAGTCATGGCATTTTAAATTAATGCAATTTAATTTCATACGCTGTTAAAAGTGCTGATGTGACATTTCTGCTCATAATTTGCATTCTAACTAACGTACTAAACTACGCATCCATAGCACATCAAGATTAAGTGGCTGAAACTTGGTATTTTCAGTATATTAAAATATTAATATCGCATGCGAGAAGAATGAAAATCGAATAGTTAATGAATGTCCATATTTCATATTCAAATGCTACTGTAGTATATTAAAAAATCCCAAAGCTTCCTGTTTAAGTGATGGATGAATTCTTAAAACTAGAAACAGCATTTTTCAAATGAAGATACTCTTGATAATTGTCACTTAAATTACATCTGAAGAAGGAAGAAATTAAATAAATAAAATAACCTGCCTCACCCTCCCCCAATCTCTTACAAACTATGACTAAATATCAAGTAACTATTTAACAGTCAGTGAAGAAAAAATAGACTGTTAGTTTCAAAACAGATTAATTGAGGGGTACATGGGGCTGGCTGTCTTGGGATTAAAAAATTCTGGCTGTCACGTGGGACTTCAGCAGTCTTAATTTGAGCTATTTTACAGTATAGGTTTTGAGAATCAAAAGTTAAAATAGTCCAGGGTAAAAGCTAGTCTGTTTGAAAATCTTGGCTTTGATTCATAGATCCATTTGATCCCTCTAAACCTTAAAAGGCATTATTAAGCACTTCTGAATGAATTAATTTTTTTTTTTTCCACCCATGTCTTAAAATCTGTCTTCAAAATCAGTCTCAGAATTAATGGGTACTATGTGGAAGTGTAAGGAGGGGAAAGGACAGAAGTGTTTTCTTGATACCTTTTGGAGCTTCCTGGAAAATCTAAGTTACTCTGGTGTTCTTGAAAAAGTCCAATGTGTGATCTACTTCTGCTACCTTCAGTAACTATCTATGTAGCTTTTATCTCCTGTGATGCTTTACCATTTACTGTGAGGTCTGATTAGATTGAATTAAACGTCAGTTTTCAAAAGTAGATGCCAGTTTTGGGAAGGAGCTAAGGGGTCATAGTATGTACTTTTTCCTCAGAGCCAGCAGAGGTTCTAGGGAGTTGACTTGAACTGCAGGGGCTAGTCAAAAGATGAGAAAAATCTATAGTCAAACTAGTGACCTTATCTGTGTAAAATGGAAGAATTTTGAGACTAAATCTTCCTCACATTATCTTGACTAACTCTAGTAGTGAGTCTGGGTTTGGTCTGTTTTCATTGTGCAGAATAATTAATCCTTGACATGTTGGATGCAGCTGAAAATGTTTTGCATCCACAGCACTTCCTAATGTTTGGAAGAAATGACAACTTCAGAATAATTCTTTTGCCTAAGTTTGCTCTTACCAAATTGTCAAAAGGAAACTAACACTTCCTTTTCATTTATTGCTAAACTTAGATTATCTCTTTCTCTGGCAGGAATCGACTTTAAGATCAGAACAATAGAATTAGATGGAAAGAAAATCAAGCTACAAATATGGTAAGTATTCCAAAGTAATTTAAGTTTTCAGTGAGTATTGAATTAATCTTTGAGCAGGAGTACTTCACAGCTTTTGAGCCTGGGTGTACCAGAAGTTTCATACCTTTTATTCATTGACTGTCCATAAGGTTTATGCTTTCTTCTAGCTTGCTTTTGGAGTGGTTCTGTTTCAGTAGCACAGGAAATAGCCTGCTCACATGCAAGCGTTACAGCAACTTCCCATTTTATCAAAAGCTGTCCTCTTAAATGCGCTTTTAGCTATTCCATGTAGAAGAGAAGTATTAACTCCATAGCTGTAAACTGAAATATGCGACCTAATAAAATGTAATGTCTGATACTTTGATACCTAGTTGTACTCACAGAGCCACAGGTGAGTGATAATGCTCCCTTTCCTTGCATGGTGGGTTAGTAGAGACTGAGCATCCTGATAGCAGCAGATGAGTATTTTTGGAGTAGCATTGTTACACATGCCAAACTCTTAAAATGCTAGCAATGAAGGTAGGGTTCTTGCTGGTTGCTCAAGTTCTAGCAAGATAGTTGTGATACTTTCATGTGAGCCAGAATCCTTGTGACTAAGGAGGTGAAGTGCCAGAAATGATGGGTACAAATTTTCTGTCTGTAATGTAGGTCAAAAAGCTGGTTTTTGTCAAGCCTTTGGGCTTCAGCTCCCCCTAGGTGTGACTAGTAGCCGAACACTTTGGTCCTCTTGTTCACCCAGACAGATAGTGCTTTGAAGTCATCTAGGATAAAGTATCAGCACACTAAGGTATAGTGGCTGATTTTAATAGCTAACTGTACATGAAAATGCACTATCCTAAAATATTTTACTGTTGCGTGTTTTGGGTTTTGTTTAATGCAGGACTCGGTAGCATCAGAGCTGCCTTTTTTAATTATTCTAGAGAAGGCTGCATAGTGCTGAGTTTCATTGCTTGCATGAAAATTTAAATGCTTTTGTGCTGTATTTATGGTGCTGCCATAACCACTGATGTAAGTAGAACAGCTTGGGAGCAAGTAGGATGTTGAGGACTGAAGAAACTTGTGCAAACAGCTTCTAAATGGTATTTTTTTATTAATGAGTGAGTATCAATACATTGTTACTCTGTTCAAAAGGACATCTCTAAGTACAGAAAGAGAGTAAAGATCACCTGCAACAAATACTTGTTTTCACTGAATTTTAGGGATACAGCGGGCCAGGAGAGATTCCGCACAATCACAACAGCTTACTATAGAGGAGCCATGGTGAGTGCTCTCACTTCAAAAAAAATTAAGCACAACTAGTGTAACTGGTTTACTCTTCTTAAGGTTGTATCATGTAAGTCTTGAACTGGAGGATTGGGTAATTGTGGCTTGAGATGCAGGGAATAAAGTTTGTGGTTTGGTTGGGGTTTTTTTGTTTTGTGGGTTGTTTTTGTTTTTTAAACCTGCTGGTACTTTGTCTAGTCCTGTTTTTGTGATGAAACTTCAAGTCCTATTGTCTTTTAAAATATAATTATAATTTTTGTAGATTATAATAAGCAGCTAAGTTGCCAAGCTTTAATCAGACAAGTTTGTTTTTTTATGTAATCAACCCCTTTAAACATTTGAAATGTTTGCAAAATAGGTAATGAATGATTTTAATATTAAAAGTGTATTTAACTGAATTGCTTTTCCTTCAGCCAGTAGAGAATGCAAAATCTGGGCTAGAAATACAATCACCTACAAAAGCTACTGTTACTTTTTCCTCCATTAGGAGTGACTTGAAGTCAAATAACTGACTTAGAGCCTGTACTCTTTGTGGTACGACTGCATGTGATGGTTCTTAATGCTATGATTTGAGATGCTTTATGTTGTTATATAACAGTATTATACTGTTAATGTCAACTTGCTGATTACTAGTTATGCTGCTACTACATGTTCTTATGGCTTTGTGTGAACAGACCTGTTCCATTCATAGGCTGGCTGTGGGTCCAAATAACTCCACTGTTGGAGAATCCAGATGGGGAGAAATAGTAATGGTTGTGGCTCTGTGTTAGAGCTTTCTAGTACTTAAAAAGGTTTTGGCAATGACGTGGTCTTCTTTGTCCTACGAGGGATGATTGGAAAGGCAGTAAGGAATGGAGGCGAACCTGGCAATCTGTCCTTAATGCAGTTATGTGGTTTCCCATGCTTTGCTAGTTGTTGAGACCCCATGCTAGTATATGTACATAACTGTCTGAAAGAGCTCAAGCTTCTGGGAAAGCATGTAGTGTCGGCTTTGCTGTGAGTATCTACTGGCCTCAGCAGATTGGATCTCACAGGTTTGTCATCTTTGACTGCTGAAAGCTGCTGCTTCTAAACTTGACTTTAACAATAGAGTCCTGGTTGCTGTTGTAGTAGAATTTCTAAACTTTTCCTGACTAAAGGCTAATAATTTAAAACTTCATATAGGTGGTGTGTTTGACCTCTTAACGGTGGCAAAAGATGTTAAATAGTAATATTTTGGGTAAATTCTCAGCAATGGCATAATGCTTTGAGAAAGGATTACAGGTGTATAAGTCACATGTTTAATTTCTTGCAAGTGTAATCAAACCAACAGCATACATCAAAAGTCAATCAATAATGCTAGCTTATCTAACTAGATTTTCTAATTTAATTTAGGGAATTATGCTGGTGTATGACATCACAAATGAAAAGTCTTTTGACAACATAAAAAACTGGATAAGAAACATAGAGGAGGTAGGTACTTTGGGAAGTACTTCTTACTCATTCCATCTTATGATTTACCTGGGACAAATAATGATCAAGTAGTTACTCACTTTCATTATAGTAGCCCACATATAAGGCCAAGTTAGACTGTGCAGTGAATGCAACAGTGGTTATTAATGGGGAGAATATTATCTCATTCATCTAGGGATAGAAGGTGGAAAAGTTTAAAAAGCAAGCATGAAGTGTTTCAAAACTCCTCTTACTATATGACTTCTGTTGTTCTTTTTTGCTTTTGGGTGTGTCTAAGGAATGGGAAGGAGCAAGATTTTACGGTGTCTGTCTTTCACTGACATGATGACAGATCTGTCTAATTTCAGCTGTTACTGTGTTGTGTGTTTGTCTGATTAGAGATTTTTAACCTTTTCATTTGGTCTTGGGTAAGCTTCCTTCCTGCTTGCTTACTGTAAATTATTTAATGGGACATGCTGTCAAGTAGGGATAGGTCATTATGAAGTTAGAGTAGAAACCTTAATTTTAGTGAAGCTGTAGTTAGAGAACAGAATTTTACTGGGTTTTTTGTTTCCTTAAACATAAAATCCATGGGCTTTTCATTAGTATTGTTCTTTGGCTCTTAAGCAAAATTCCTGTATTAGTGACCAATTTGATCCAATAGTGACTGGGCTAGAAAAGTTCTCTTGTTGAAGTTCTCTTGCTGAAGTCATTATTACTTAAATAGACTATTAATAAAAGACTTTTTAAAAAATGCAAATGTATCACATAATTATACTCCAAGGAAATACCCTAGTTGTCCATGCACCACTTTGAAGTAAAATGTGTACAGTTATATTTCCAGAATAGCCAAACTGCAGTGCATGTGCGCAGCCTGGTACAGGGCTCATGGTACTGTATTTGATCTATAATAATACTCAGGCAAATTTAATCTAGGAGTATTTATTGCAACCTATTTTAATATTTAAATATTAAATTGCCTGTTTCAAAAGTCAGTCTCCTTCTCAGTAATGCCTTCATATTAGATAACTTTTTAAAAATAAAATATTCATTTGTGGATGAGTTTGACACATGAGGTTCTTTTATAAAATGATGCACTCAGTTTCTGAGAGATTACTTTTTCTTCCTTCAGCATGCCTCTTCAGATGTAGAAAGAATGATCCTAGGTAACAAATGTGATATGAATGAAAAAAGACAAGTCTCAAAAGAAAAAGGGGAGAAGGTAAGCTTTGGTGACTTCCCTTATTGAGAAGCCTACTTTTCTTAGGATTTTGGCTGCTGGATATTTGGTGTGTTTCAGGCATATGAGAGATAATGGGCCCCAAACCTTTTGTTTCAGAAACTTTTATGTATTATAGGATGCCAGGTTTGACTTTTTGTTTTTAAATAGCACTTGACTGTCTTCAAGTTTGGATAAACTTAATGGTACTATTGTCTTGAGGGGAAGATCCTGTAAAGAATATTGACCTTTGCTATAGCATGAAGTATTAAAAATCTCAATATAAAGTTTTGTATATAATTTGATCATGTTGTACTCAATTCACCATGGTGGTTACTTACTCTTGTTGTAAGTACTGTTATTAAAGCTTAAGTAATTAGTTGTTCTGCAGAACAAACAAACAAGTAAGAATACTATATGATCTATCATGTACACTGCTAAAGTAGTGTAGTTGCTAGTAACACAACTTATGGGACAATTGTATGTAGTTACCTGGTCCATAAATCCATATCAATGAAGATTCTATCTTCATGTTCTTTCAGGTCCTGAATAAGTCTTTTTGTAAGCAATTAATCTCTTTGGGTTTGAATTTACATAAGGATATGGCTTGTTCTAATATTTTGACTAATTGTCCAGTAACTTTAATGTTTTTGCAAGAGAAGAGCAGAAACGAAGTTTGTTTGGTTTTGTTTTTAAAGCTTGCTGCAACATGCAGCATCTATTCTATTATGAACCTATGTGAAACATTCCTTTTACAAAGGAACCTTAAAAACATTGAAAAACTTTAATCTCTCTTCCAGTTAGCAATTGATTATGGAATCAAATTTTTGGAGACAAGTGCAAAATCCAGCATAAATGTGGAAGAGGTAAGAGATGGATGTTACGGTTAGATGTGTTTCTTGAACTACTACTGTGGATGCATGTTTCATGATCTGCTGGGCTTTCTGACCTGATCTGGGACCTGAAGTCCCAGCTGTGCTCCTGGGTCACCAATTTTGTTGTATTTAGAGCGCTACTGTAAAATCCAGCATGTCTTGTTTTCTGGTAATGTCTGGAATTGTTTTTTTAAATGGATGGTAACAGAGTGGTTTACTATTAACATAGCAAACACATGCTTTAGACTTCTGTGCCTTGCTACGCAAATTACAAGTGCTTTTGGACAGGGAATAAGTGTAATTTTAGAGCAGTGTTTTGTGCAGGAAATTGGGTTCAAGATTCTTTACTTTCAGAGTATCATACTACTGTGTCAAGGAGCCTTCAGGTTGCTACTAAATATGTGCTATGCAGATGAGACTGAAGATTTGTATGTTAACCTGGAACACCAGCATAGACTGTCATAAGCTGATGTTAGAAGAGGAGGAAGGCTTATAATACACTATAGATAGACTTGCAATCTGTTTTCCTGCAAATAAATTTTGTGCTAAAAATACAAGATCCCTATGTATGAGAGAATAAGGAAATAGAATTGGAAGGAAGAGTGGCTCAACTCTAGCCCGTCTTAGCGTGAATCACTCTTGTCATCTCAGGGAGGGTGGGTGGAGGATCTTAACTCTATGAAAAATGTGGACACGAAAATAATATGATATCAAAAGGCAGTTACATTAAGATTCATTCATGCAGATAAGGGAGGCTTGTTCTTGATTGTTGTTCCTGTACCTAATCATCTAAAAGCCTTTCCGTGTGTATCGATTGTATATCTTTTTAAAAGTCCTCTGAACACACACTTAATTCAGATCATGCAGCTAACAAATTAACTAGAAACTAGAAAGATTGTTACTTTAAAATAATACAACTGATGCTGTGCCAGCCAAGCATTTTTTTCTGATTGCAGGATGATTGTTACACAGTATAGTTAGAATGGACTTATTTGCATTGTGCTGCATCTGGAATAGTGCTTGACCTGATTTTCACAGTTTCATTATGATTCTTACAGCAGACAATGGAAGTGTGAACATTAGCAGCTAATACCAATAGTGGGTAGCAATAGTTTCCTAATAAAAAGTACCTATCTTCTTCATTAGTTCCTCCAGATGGTTGACTTCCTTTTTCATGACATGCCCTGCAATTTCATTTTAACTCCTGTAGGTCATTAAATGTACAACATTAGTTTGTGCTTACTCCAAACAACTTGGCTATCTGAATATTTTTTTAAATTGTCACATGAATAGTGAAAAGCATTAAAAAATGCAGGTATAGGCATTTAGCAAGAAACAATGTAGTCTTCTTTCCACCAAATGCTTAACTTGGAGGAAACAACACAATTGTGATATTCTTGTGATCAGAAGTGAATTAATTTATTTTATTTGTTGTGATTTATTTGCATTAAATGAGTCTCTTTGGATATATTCCAAACACAATAGGAAGGGAAATGTTTACAGTTTTTTATGTTCTAGAACTGTCCTTGGATTGCTGATATCTCAAGACAGCCTAAAATCTTTCTTTTCCTTGCTTCTGGAGAATTGCAGAATTTTTTCTGCTACAAAAGTTTTTTTGTTGTTTTGTGTATTGAAGTCTGAGATGCTGAGATTTGCCAGGGTGACTTTTTTTTTTAAATAGCGATGTTGGAAGCATAAATATCATTATAGATAGCACAGGAGCAAAACTTTTGGAGGACAGAAGGCAAGCTAACCTTAATGTGAATTCCCAGGCATGCCATCTTCAAACCTCTCTGTGGATTTCTAGTTGTGATGCTCAGTACAGTTTGGCAAAAAAAAAAAGGTATCAGTGTACGCAGCCTTCTCTTCAGCAAATTCCCTCTCCCTCCAAGAGGTATGCAATGGGAAAGCCTGTTTGCTTGCTTCAAAGATTGGAGGAACAGAGACTGAAAATAAATAAGTTTTTCTTCTAAAGCATGCTTATTGCAGTTTTAAGTAAACAGCTATTGTACATAGAGTGCCTTGCAACTCGAAGTGCTAGCAGTGACCTACAGAATACTGTACTGTTAATGTGTCTGGCTACTCCAAATCTATCATGTCTTTAACGTGTCTTGTGACTAACTTTTTTTTTTCCCCCCCCTGCTCCTCACTAGGCATTTTTCACACTTGCGCGGGACATTATGACCAAGCTCAACAGAAAAATGGTTTGTATTTCCAGTTGGCTCGCAAACTAGATATATTGAAATGATTGCTATAATAATTGGCTAAGTAGTAGCCCTACCAAAAAACTCCTGGGGATTACAGTGGATGCTAGATCAAATTTGAGCCAACAGTGCTTTGTTACACTTTATTGCACATCAGTGTGTAATTGTTCATTATTTTGCATGAACGTTAACATTGGGTAGCCTAAAACTGATGTGTTCTTTTGAAATGTAACAGTGTGATCCTTGCTTTATTAAATATCAAATTACATAGTCACGCTTTGAGCTATACTTGAGATCTGGATTGTTGGATAAATGTTTCTTTTTAAAATAGGTAGTTTTATTGAGTGATTGACAGAGTTTGGATAATTGAGGAGCTCAAGTTGCAGCAAACTTCTGCTGTGGTTATTGCTTTACAAGGGTGGGAAGTGGGGAGGGAAACTAGGAAAGTTAGACTTATTTTTTCTGCATTTTATGATATTGATACTCTTTTTGCTTTCAGAATGACAACAGTTCATCAGGGGCAGGTGGGCCAGTAAAAATAACAGAAAATCGATCTAAGAAGAGCAGCTTCTTTCGATGCACGCTACTTTGATGAACTTCTAATGATAGACTGCAGCACACTTAGAACCTTTTCTGCTTCTTTGAAAGCACAGGGTCACAAAGCCTCAGAAATAATACCACCAAGCTGCTGCTGAGAGCTCCATTGAACGTAGACTGCGATACACAAAATATCAAGTGGATTTTGCTCACTAAGCCTATTGACCTGTCAGGCTCTTCTTTCTCAGATATGGAAGCTATGAAGTGGAGACACAAATGCAAGAGTTAACTTGTTTTCCTTTTTTACTTTCTGTTTTATTGCCTGTTGCAAAAGCTGCTATGTTTCTTTTAACTTTGCACATCCATATTGGCCTCTTACTGCCTGTTACAGCACAATCTTACATTTGTATTTGCACAGTTTGACTTGTAAGTAAGATTCTTAACAGATTTGTGCAGGTTTTTCTTTCTCTTTTTAAACAAATTTATTTTCAAGCAGAAGAGCCAGGGGAAAAATTTTTAGTCTCTCTCCCATTATTTTCTATGCTGTATACTTGTGGCCATGACTGCAGTATGGATGTTGACACTCTAGTGATGAGAATTACTGTAACAATTGGCATTTAACAATTTGTATGAGTTTTGTCGCTTAAATGCACAAATCTGTTCATACAGAAGCTATGGCTTCTATTCTGAATGTAGTCTGTTGCTTTTCTTTCTTTACCAGACTTAGCAAAGTTGTGTTCTGAATTGCCAGTCACTGATTCACAGATGCACCTTTCAGTTATTTGAATAAACACCGTGTCTTTCCTCACTTAACTTTCCTTTGTTAGCTCAAACTGTCTGCACCTTTTTGTTTCTGATGAGGAAGTACACTCTGGAGTTGAAATAATCATCACAAATTGGCCTCATCACTATCACTTAAGTGGCTTGTGGAAGCTGAATGCATGAGTTTTGAGTAACCTCTTTCTGGATTCATGTGGTCAGAAATGACTGCTTCTAAAGGTGACTTCAATTTCTACTGTAATTCTAACGATAGTTCGTTAGTGTCTGTAAGTATTGACCTTTGACAGCAGGTGTCCAAAAACTAGCTTCCTGCACAGTTGCTAAAGTTTATCAAGTTCTGGCACTAAGGAAATGGTCACATTAGGGCTATAATGTACAATTAGTTATGCAGTTAGTGCTGAATGTGTGAAGCCCTCTTTGGTCTGCTCAAGCAGTTAAATTATTTTTTGTTCAAAAACTGGTACAGTGACCTAGACTGTTAGAAGCAGAGTTGAAACGTAGTTGCCTTTTTTACTCAACTGAGCATTGTATAACCTAGTCTTTGTTCTACTACTTTTTTATTGTCTTCTGAAAAATTTCCTCAAATGAGCAATTAAAACAGGTGCTTTAGTTCTGTTGATGTGCCAAACTTGGACCATTGTAAGCTTTAACTATAAGGTTGTGTCCAGCATGTTTGTTATTAGGGGATAGGTGCACTCTGTCATAGTCAAAGTTAACATCTGATGTGCTTGCTTTTGCTTCACCCCATTGTCTAGAGTTGTAAACAGTGAGTTGGTTGTTACCACAGATAACTGCTTCATTTTGTGGTGTCAGGTACTGAATTTGTCATCTCTGGGTCTGTTGTAAATATTTTGAAAGTGAACGGGCCGATAGCGTTAGATTTAAAGACTTTTGATTTTAAAAGGTTTAACATTAGTAGCTGGTTCCATGAAGTTTTAAGTGGTTATCAACCTGTCCCCACATGTAGTTTAATAGAAATAGTTACTGTAACTAGATTGTGAATCTCATAAACTGCTGTTGCTGCACTAAAACAGAAAAATCTTCATGGCAACAAGGTTTAGTGAAAAAACAAAGCAACCCTAACTGCTCTGTTGTCTACCCTTGATGTTTCTCGGACAGGCTAAAGCAGTTATGTTTTCTGTATGGTTAAAAGAAGTGCTTCTATACAGAAAGTGTTGTGACACCAATTATGAATGTCATTTATTTTCAGTAATTTACCTCTGACTTATTTGGTGTCCTAATACTTTGATTTTTATCTCAGGGGTTGTCTGCAAACCAAAACTGACATGTTCTGTGTTTGGCACCGTTTACAGAATGCTTTGTATTGTTTTTCCTGTCTTCGCTGTGTGGTTAAATGTTCATTCTATATTAGTCTCCATGAACTTCCCTTTGAAAGAGCCTGTAAGTAGTAGAGTCTATGAAGTGCTTCTTGAAGCAGCAGCGAATTGGGGTATCTGCTCTGTATTTGGGGGGAGGGGGAGGGGAGAAGAAAAACATGCTATTTTCTTACATTTAGCTGTGCTAAACTGTACATAAATGTGAGGTAAGACCATAGGAAATTCACTTTATGCATGATAAAATAATGCAGTAAATATTTCACTTTGCTTAATGTTCATGTAAAGTTCATCTTTTTTTATTTGTAGAAGAGTTTAATGCAATTTTGTTGTCCCCTGCTGAAACTGAAGAATTCTAATTTCATGTGGTCTTATGGATAAGGTAAAATGCAGATTTCTCTCTCTTTCTGTGTTGTTTTGCCCCCACCGATCTTCTCCAGCAGTATTAAATGGCTGAGTGGCTGCACTTTATTGGTGTGCTAACTTTTGGTCAGTACAGACCTCTTTCTATGTACAGTCTGCCTTATCAGACACTGAAAAATGTTCTATATCTTAGTGTGCAAATCAGCTGTATGTTTTACTGGGAATTTTTTAGCTATATTTTCCTTTAGACAAGCGGGTGATGATAAATGTTGTGTTCTGCCTACGCATCAGATGCTGGGTACTACAGGCTTTTCTAATATCACTATGATTGTTTTGTGCAGTCTCTGTTGCTACTTTGCTCAAGACTACATAATCTAAGTTTTGAAGGACTCTTAACTATACCTCAGTCAACTAGTTAGTATTGTAATGGTCATTAGAATGAAAGTCATATAATTATTATTCATTAAGCAGCAAATGTATTTCTGTTTTATTCCAGAAATTGCCATTAACCTTTCCTGAAAAGGCAGACATTTTTTGGTGGATTTCGATAAAACAAAAATGCTGCTTATGCTATGGAGTTCTATGAAATCTTTCCCTCAGTCCCATGTCTGTGCACTATATCTTGACCAATACTTTTCTAAATGGTTTAAAAAAAAAAAAAAAGGCCAAACAAAAAAACATACTGATCTCGGTGCTTCGCAATTTTAGCTTTCAGTCTGTGCTCGGCAGAACATGCACAAGAAGTTTTTGTTGAGTGTATATAGGATATTTGATTTACTTACTGTCTGGAAGTTCTATTATTGCTAAAACTTAAACCACTCATGAAACTTTATGCAGCTCACTTTTCTATTTGGGGGACAGTCTCAGAAATGCTAATGGACTTTTCAGACCTGTAGTTCTTTTTACAGAAAGTATTTCCCATTGTAAGTACCTTTCCCATACTAGTCTGCTGAAGTCAAGTGAATTAAGTGGATCGTTTTCACAAGTGAATAAAGGAGTCTTGAATATACATATCACATTAAAATATTGTGAATGAATAATGATTTGAAAGTACATGAATAATATGTAAAATGCATAAATGTGTTATTTGTGAAAATGCATCTGTTATTTGGTTATCTATTAATGTAACTGAAATTTTGCAATGTTAAAGTTTTTAAGGAGTAGTCTGTAGGTGATAATAGGTCTTTTTTTCTTCTCCATTCACTGAACTGCTTATGCCATTCTCATCCTTATAAATAAAACTTGTATTTCTTTCTTCCACAAAAGCAGGATTTCCATTGATTTTTCTTGTTTCTGGTGAATTTTAAGTATTTTAGTGCATTCCTATGGCCTTACGAACATTTTTGCAAATAAAACTACAATTACAGTTATTTTAATGCTATATAGTTACTAAATTCAGAATAAAAAGTATAGTCCTTGAGAAAATGCTTGATTTTGAAATAGAAGTGTTCTACTGTGTGTGTTTAAGCACATTTTATCTATGTTGTAAAGGTGTAATGTGAAAAGCTCCTGCAGATAAAAGTGAACTTGTCATGTGGTTAACTTGTAAACCTAATCATTAATCATGTATTGATGTGTATAGACAAAAAAGCCAAACCCAACCCCTAAAAAAAACTTCACACTCCCATGGTTTTATTATTCCATGTGAACTTTTTTACAACAATGCGTGTCTCAAATAAAAGTTACATAATGAAAAGTATTTGGAGTATTTTGTATGAAATATTCCACATCGGTTTTATACAGTTGGCATTTCCACTCCATTTTTGATACATCTGTTGTGGAAAGGTGTCCAGCTGAGTTGCATCTGTAAAGCTTTGCTTAACTTCAGTGGCCAGACCACAAGGGTTTTTGTATGGCTTTGCTTGTTCCTAAACTTGGCTGCTCTTTAGATGCTCGTGAAATATCCTCTGTTCCTTTAGTGATTGCTTAAATCTAAGTAATTTCATTTACCTTCAGCTTCATAAGGAACTATTTTTCCAGGCATTTAGTGTCATGAAATAATACCCTTCCAAAGTAACTTCTAAGCAATGCCAGTATAGTTAACCTGAGACACAATCTCCAATTTGATCAAGAATTATCTACTCACTTAAGCTGTTAACATTTTCTTTTTTGTTGTTGTTTTAAATCAGTGTTATGTGAAAGGTATGACTCTTAAGTAACCTGAGGCACAAATGTCATGACTTCATATAGCAAATATTGTTTGTCCAGCCTCCTTCAACACTGAATATTTAGGGATTTGACAGAAATATTTATTGCCTATTATATTAGCAATAGTTCTTGACATTCGGATTATTGTGGTTTGGCAGTAACTTGCAATTGGTATGAAAATTAGCGAACCTTAGGGAAGAAGGTTTTGTCTACCCAAGACACCCAAGTGGGCACCCTAAGGAATAAATGGAAAATGTATGGATGACAAGTAGCTTTGAAAGTTCATGCTTTTTACATGTTCATCTAATAAACTGTATTTAGCTGAAAGAATGTATTGTCTCTTTACAGAGAGCTAGAGTTACATTCTTGTTACACCTCATTATTTGTTGGTTTTGGTTTGTTTTGTTGTGTTTTGTTTTTTTTTCCAGGCTGCTTCTGGCAGACGAGTTATCTTGCAGTTCCCCTTAATCTGAACTGGTTCTACATGCTCAGCAGTCCTAAAATCACTTCTGCAAGTCCTTCAGTTCTCACAGAAGTTAGTGGCATATATCTGCATCCCAACAGTATTTTAAACACATTTGCATTCTTCACTTGTTAAAAGGAAATAGCAGGCATACTTACACTGCTTAAAAATGGTGATTTATTACAGTTCTTGGATCTATTTTGGCTGCAGACTAGCAGTTACTATACAAATAGTGCACACTTGTAGACCAGGGGTAAGATGTTGGTACACGTGTAGAATGTATTCAGCTTTTATAATCTCGTAAATTGCATTTTTCCTAAATGACTCTTTTTCCAACTTGGTTGACTAGTGGCTCTTTAGAATTCTTGAACTATACTGAAGTCATCAATATAATGTAAGATTTCAAAATCTTTTTTCTTTGAAAGATTTTAATCTTCAAGAGATACATAAATGAAGCTTTTATGTTGCATAATGTTATTCTTGGCATCTATAGGTTTAAAGAAAGGGCATGGAATGCGATTCAAAACATACTGAAGAGAATTTGTAGTGCTCTGGTTTGGTTTTTTTTTGTACTTGCTTCAAAAATTTTTTATTGTCTTCAGCAGAGCACATCAGCACTAAGCTTCTGGTGTGAACAAATGTTACATACATTCCTCTGAGCACATTTTCAGTACATATTGTTCTTTTAATTTGCGAAATAAAGTTGTAAGTTCTGAGCAG